CGCTTCTTCTTCCTCTTCCTTTTTTTATTTTCTGTCTCGTCGGCTCCCTTCGTTGTAACGGCCGGCGGGTCCTCGACGACGGTTTGCGTCCCGACTTCTTTAGCCAAATTCACAAGCGCTATTTCCGGCGCCCGTGGTTTGTCTACTGCCTCCGCTGAAGCTTCAAGGGGATTCCTGGACGGCGGAGACGCTCTTCCGCGTTTCTAGCTCTCCAGGATCTACTCCAGACACTTTGTCGTGATTTGCATCTCCCTGTGCACGCCCATACCTCGTCGTTTGTCTATGACCCCTCGAAGCACAGTCACTTGCGCGCCTATGCTCTAGATCATAGACGACGTGGTAGTCGCCTCCTCCATGGCGACTACCACGCCTCCTCGTTCATCAGGCTCCCTTCGACTTCCGCCGTTCTGGCGAGAGAAACGACGTGGTTGAGGCTAACGTCGACCGTGGCCTCGTTGTCACTGTCACCTTCCTCCCCCAATGGCGACCTCCTCTTGCCAGGATGCGGCAATGGGGGAGAACTCTCCGGCAACGGACTCAGCGCTGGCGAGTTCGATCTGTGGTGAGTAGATAAACCTTCCTCTATGGAAGGTTCTGCAGTTCTACGGCGGTCGCTCGTCCGCATCACCTCGTCGTCATCTTCCACAGCCATAGCATCCGGAGACGACGACACTTCCTGCTTTATCATTTGCCCTTCCGTGTACACCATGTACTCATTATCCCACTGTCGTTGTAGCGGAATAAGAGCTCCGAGGCAACTAGGCGAACGAGGGGCTCGCTGTCCACGACCGCTTATTCGTCAGTCCAAATGAATGGACTGCTTATTTCTCAGCTAACCTGCATATCTGCAGACCATTTCTCTATCTGCAACCTGAGGACGCGCCCGATTCCTCGAGCTAGAGACACTGCGCTCGTGCCGACGTTTCGTAGCCCCATCACACCTACGTAGAGAATGGAATATTAACTTTCTGACTGAAAAAGGAGGATTTGTAATATATATAGATGGATCCAAAAAATCAGAAAAGGTAGGTGCTGAAATTTAGGGTTTAAAGCCACGAATAAATGTAAGTATGTCATTGGGCACAACACCCTCTGTTTTCCAAGCAGAGGTGACGGCGCTACTGGTAGGAGCTCAGAACCTGCTGGTATACATAAAAAGGAAGGTAACTATCATAAGTTATAGTCATGCGTCTCTGAAAGCACTCTGTAATTACTAGGTGAATTCAAAGCTGGTCCTCGAATGCAGGGAAACTTTAGTATCACTATCGAAGTTCAACAAAGTTACACTAACGTGGGTACCAGGACACAACGGTGTCACTGGAAATGAAAATGCTAACTTTTTAGTCAGGAAAGGAGCAGATAACACCTATGTTGGGGACCAGATACCAGTGGTAGGACTCACTGAGCAATCGCTCAAAGCGCTATCCAAGAATTGGTTTAGGGGACAACACAGGAAAATCTGGAAGTACTTGGTAGTACTTAGACAATTTAAAATGTTTATCAAGATCCCTAGTCTACTGCTTGATTTAACAGACCTGGTTTAGTCTAACTGACGGGACATGGTCACCTGCTTAAACATCTTAACATGATATGGGAATAACCATTGTGCAGGAAGTGTGGAGTAGAAGAGGAAGACTCATTTCACACCATGTGCGAATGTGAAGCCTTGTCCACACTAAGATCAAACTATTTGAGTAAACCTCTTCCTGAAAAAGAAAATATTAAAAACCTAAAGCCCAGAGAAATACTTATTTTCGCCGTAAAGACAGGACTCTTTGGTCATCAATAGGGGTGACTTTATGGTTGGTATAATGTAGTAACACTTCGGTGATAACACTTAAGTGGGTAAACCGAATCAAGAAAAATCGGTATAAGGTGCGCACAATAGACCAACAAGGATGAGTGCATGGACATTATGTCCACCTCCATGATAACTAAAACTAAAACTATAGAAAATAAACAAAGGCTTAAAGCAAATCCTTGGTGCACTTCTATACTTACCTTAAAATCTTCTGTTACTCCGCTCAAAATTTTTACACAAGTAAAAGTGTCATCATTCATATTCTCTATTATATCCAGATAATTTTTTGAAACGCCTTTTCTCATTAATATCCAATTTAAAACCTCTTTCGGTACTCTTACGTTTTCTCCAAGTCTATAAATACCATACACATATTTTTCTTCTTTTCCCTATACTTTTCTATTAGTTGTCTTACACAAAAAACTGGCTCCGTCATTGATTTTCCAGGCAAAAAATTAAACTGATTCTTTTTTATTGATATTTCTCCTCTCATTTTAGCTACAATGCGAAGCTGAAAAGGTATTAGTTTTATTATGATGTTTTTTTTTTTGTGTGTCTGTTACCACTTTTTCAAAGCTCTCACCCAACGAATTTAACGATACGTCAAAGATCAAAAATCGTATCTAGTCGAAGACAATAATTGAAAAAATTTCCCTTATTCCCCTTAAATAGGAAACTCTTCAAAAAAATTACAAATCTAAAAATCGCTAATTTTCGTAATTTTTTCAATTTTTTCAATTTTTTTTACTTAAAACTGCCATAACTTTTTATAAAATGACCAAATCAATATAATTTTTTTTATAAATACTTGAGGTATATACCTATCTTTTGGTATATATTTTTTATAAATATGACCCTTTACCTGCCCACAGGAGAGGGATTTAAAATAATAACTTTTTCTCAAAAAATTAATTTTTTCAACTTATGCTTATATAATATACTTTAATATTAAAAAAAAATTTTGGACTTCATTTTGTCTTCACGGTGAAAATAGTTACCAAATGCTATTTTGTGTGAACATTTTTGATTTTGTATTTTACATTTTTAACTTTATAATACTATAACTTATTGAAAAGTGTACGGATCAATACAATTTTTTTATGAGAAATAATATTTATATAATATAAGTTTATAATATTTATATATTAATAATAAATATTTATATATTTATATACTTTCATTCGACATACTTTATCTTAATCAGGATATAAATAAGGAAATAACAGACCATGTAGCTTTTGGAATAATCCACCAATTTTTTAAAATTAGATAGTGTTTAATTTTAAAGATTTGCATTGAAGCGTTTTTTATGATAGTAATTTTAATTACTGTCAGATATCATTATACTTGATCCAACTTTGCCACGTCACCGCTGTGCCGCGATCCCCCTGTGCAGGATTTTTTTTTTCTATTACTTCTTCCAAATCTTTATATTATGACTCATAAGCTTTATGCATCTACAATTGGCTTCTTTGCACTAGCATCCAATCTTCTGTTCTTCCTTCATACTTTAAACTGCTTTTTCTTACTCTCTATTGTTTTCTGAACTTTTTCATTCTACCACCATGTTTCTTTGCGTTATTGTCCTACTCTCACGAATAATGTCCTTTGGGTATAACTTCCATACATATATATAAATCAACAAATTTTCAAACGTATTGAGTTGAAACTATTAACGTCATAATTTTGAAAAATTCGATAATAAGGATTTCAAAATAAAGTTTTTCCTAAAAACTGTTATTTTTTTAATCTTTTTCCATAAAAGAGGCAAGATTGTGAAAACAATTGACAAGCTTTCTAGCCAAAATTACAATAATGAAAAGGGTCTCTTATGAATTAATAGACTTTAATTATTAATTTTTAAATATTTAAGAAAGAAAGTTGAAAAATTTCTCTTAGTTACTAATACTAACATTTTTGATGTTCAAAAGTTTTATTAAAACATTCCAAATATGAATTTTTAACCACATTGAAAATTAACGTGCGCACATGTGTGTTACTTAAGTAATTAAGAATGTCTACCATAATTGGCTTTTATATCAGTAAGGATGTATTACTATATGTGATTGATTTTAAGAAATACTGTATTCCTCAACTTACACGTCCTTACCTTAATGTATTTTAATAAGTAGTCATTGAACATTTATTATAATTTAAATTTCAAAATAAGTTTAATAACTGAGTATTATCAATTATCAAATTATGATATATATATATATATATATATCAGTTTAAAAATATATAACATACCATTAGTTATCATCACAATTATAAATTAATGTTACATTTTTTGTTTTTTATTTAGAAACTTATAAATAGCATAAAACCCATATTTTTTAAATTTTCCGAAAATTTCAGTGAACATAAAAAATGTTGAAGCTTTCTCAAGTAATCAATCTCTTAAATCAAGAACGACATAATTTTTGGTAGATCTGTTAAATTTGTTTTAATATATTTCAAGTACACATCGAAGCATTTTACGATAGTGATTTTAGTCACTGTTATATTTATAATAATCTAATCAATAGTAATCTAAATAATTTATTCGATACTGTTGTGTTACTTTTATATTAAGATTATAACTGTACAAAATAAAGTGATTTTATAAATCATGTTTGAATATGATTCTAAAAAGAAATTATTATTCTATTTTGTTAATCATATTTACGTTATTTTTATGGAGTATTGTGTAAGGACTCTTTTGATATCAATGTAAATCTATAGTAACGCATAATGAAAAATTTGTGATATTAAAACTTGTCTACGACAGTACTGGTTGTTATTATGAAAATTTATCACTTTTGAACTAGTTAATTGACACGATGACATACAAAAGTATAACTCATACATTAGGGTGAGATTCGCCGTTGAACAAAAATGTGATACGATTTTGCGACACTAATTTCATTTGTCATATATGTATATAATATTCGCAACAATATATTGACAGTTTCACGTAACTTTTAGTGCTTCTACTTTAGTCTTATAATGTGAATTAGGCTCAATGCTGAAATGTTAAATTTAATGACACAGTTCAAAATTTGATATTCCAGTATCGAGTTCTTTTCACACGTATATAAGTTATATAAATTTAGTTACATATTTTCCTAATTTTCGTTAAAAGATTGTTAAATAGTTCTATGAATGGCTATAATATCATCGTGACATCATCAGTGAAATAAAACACTATTTTTCAGAGTTAAACTTTTTTTACTTCTGGTTTAATTGTTACAAATATTTTATTATTTCAATTCATATAATTAATATATTTTATTTGTAATTATATATGGTAATTTTCCCAATCATGTATACGATATAAGAAATCCTGAAAAAAATTAATATAATTTTGAATATCATGTGTATGTAATGTAATTTTAATAAAATAATATAATAAGCACTCAATCGAATTTATAAACCTTAACATACCAGACTAAGAGAAGTGTCTTCTTCTTGTGATGTTTCCACCTGGTAAAAATAAATTATTTAGTTTAAATACTCGAAAATAATTAAATAAAAATAACAATCTTGTAGTAACTTTATTATAGTATATTTACTGTTTTATTGGTTTGATCTCTGATTTCTGATGGGTAACTCTGAAATTGTTTAAAAGTTTAACGATTAAGTGTAAATATGATAATTAAATTTAAAATTTTCGTACATAATAATCAAATATGTGACAACCAAGATTATGAAACGTTTAGTTGGTTTACAAAAATTTGAGAACATTTTTTCAAATTATTATGATGATATTTCTAATGTCTGTGTGCAAAATCTGACAAAAGTGACTTCAAAAATTATAAATAATAACTCCATTATTTTGAAAAAGCATATTTTACAAACTCCAACAGAAATAGCCTTCTCAAATTTTACATAACTAAATTTCGACAAAATAAATAAACTATATTGAATAGTTGACTATTTTATGAATAATTATTTTTAAAAATCCAAATATTTACGAATAAATATTAGTGATAGCTACCATATGTAGCTGAAAAGATATTGGTCTAATTAATGTATTTAATTATAATTTTGTGATATTCACATGTATATTCAGCTCATTCTAGGTCATTATTACTAAAAATTATATAAGAAAATTATTAACAATGTCTAATTAAAACTTGTCTAGTTTTAGCATAATAATTCGAAAAAAATATATATTGTAAATAAGATAAAAACTCTTAAAATCAACTGTTATAATAATAAATTAATTTTAAAAAATTTTTTAAAATTACAAAAATGTTTGGTAGAGAACACATTTACCGAAGACCAGTTGTCTCAAACACTGTTGATTATATTATATCGTGTGACAGATATCTAGCAACTTTGTTTTACTCACCCCCTTCCACACATAAAACGGTAAATCGATGGACTCCGTGTACAGTTCATCGTCACAAGTCAGTGAGTCAATTGTTTTTATGCGTTTTTTTTTTCATTTTTAATATAAAAAAATAATTATTATTTTAGGAAAAATTTAGTAGTGAACGATCAATGAAACAATCTGTATACAATAAAAAATTACATTTTTGTTAAATTCGACGGCCATTTTTCCATAGAAGAAAATGTGACGGGACAAATTTTTTTTTTTGAACTTGTAGTATTTATTGTCAGCTTTAATTTGACATATATTTAAAGGATGCAGTATTTCCGGAACACTTTTATTTAAAGTTTGTTTTTTTTTTTTTGTGACAAGTGCCTTTGTTTGAATGGTAAATTGTTTGACCATTGTACGTCATGATTTTTATTATTTGTTTATTGTATTCTTGTGCTCAAAGTTCTGATACCCTTACACCAGTGACCATTACTAAATAACTTCATTGTTGTAGTCGCTTTTCTGGCGTCTGTTTTCATCTGCCATTACGTGTCTAGGTCTACACTCTAACTCGTGATACTCAGATGTTCGACACCATTATCACAAGATCTCATACAGTCCACTATCAACAACTTCATTTATTCAACTAGGTTTTATATTATTTTTAAATGTTGTTTATTATTTGTTTTAATTGAATTTAACCACTTTGTTTTTTCATTAAAATCCATAGATACACAAAAAAAAATATATCTAGCATAGTGAGAGTCACTGCATAGCAGTGACAAAAACATAAAAAAACGCATTAATGTGAATTCTTTAAATTTCACAATTTTTATGCTTGTTAAATTATTTGTTAAAATGTTTAATAAACAAATTGTACAATAAATCAACAATAGTAAAATATGAACAAATCAATAAACCATATAAAATAAAACTTACATAAGAACCTAACGTAATACCTACTACAATACCTACTACAATATATAAAAAACATCAGAATAAGAAACATTAATATTACTCATTTCCATACAATGACAAAAGAAACAAACCCCCACTGTGACAATTATAACAATGTAATCTTCATAAAACATCTGATTTATGAAAATTTTATGTAGAGAATAAAAATGCGGCTAATGATTGAAATGTTTAAATCTGAATAATTATTTTGAAAATTAAAAATTTTAATTATACATAAAAAAAAATGAAAATTTACAATAATAGTTTGATGTCAAATTCCGCTTTGATTGGTTAATACATAAAAAGTATCTTTAAGAGACCCGTTTAGTTTAAATTGAAGTTTTCAAATTTATAAAAGTTTTAATTTCTCCAATTTAAAAATGTGATTTCATTAAGTGTTTAGGTTATACAGGTGGAAAAGATTTAACTGACAATTCTTATAACATTATTGCAATTAAAACTTTACTGTAATTTGTTTTTGTAACAATAGTTACGTTCTTAGACTATGTTCCAAGTACAAATTTTATAATTCATTTTTAATATAAAAAAATAATTATTATTTTAGGAAAAATTTTGTAGTCAACGATCAATGAAACACTCTGTATACAATTATTTTTTGTCGGAGGAGTTACCAAAATTTTTTCTTACAGTTAATAAAATTGTGCAATTTTCAAATTGTGACAGTACCGTAATAAGTATTAGGTCCTATTTTAAAATATTTTACAAGGGGAATACACTGACTTTCATGAATATTATATAATTTAATTAGAACTCGATTTACTTAAAAATAAAATCTCCAACCTCCAAAAACTTCCATTAAATACACACCCATCGGTCTACATCTCAGTTCATGAAACATATGATAGACTCCGTCGAAGTAAAAATATATTAATATTTAATGTAACTGATAAACAAGAGGAAAATTCCGATACGGACCATTTTTTTTTTTTTTTTTCAACCGTTAGGTTGGTTAATACCAATTGGATTGGTATATCCTGGGGAAATTTAAGTGCCATTTAGTGAATGATTTATTAAAAACCTTGAATCTTAACATCACAGTTACCAAAAGTAAACGGTTTGGATATTTCAATTCTAAACCACGTTTCATATTAATTAAACTATCATCACTAGAAGATGTTACTACAGTCATTAAAGCTATGTGAAGGATCGGAGAATCTAGTGCTTTGGACGATCGATGAGAAGATAGGACACGAATAAAGTAAAGACGTCAATTGAACAAAAAACACCAAGAAAAAGATCCAAAGACAGACCAAATAAAAAGTTGAATAGATTGATTGCAATAGTATCTAAAGAGACTGGAAGCAAAATATTGGGAGGAAAGGATCCAGGATCTGGATTAATGAAGGTTGACAACGGGAGCCAAAACTCTTGCAGTATTTTGAAGACACCTAAGAAGAATAATTTACTAAACATTTTTTGAGTTGAGTTTAAATATTCAACGCCACAATTGAACCATTCTCAATCCATAAATGAAAAATAAAATGATGATCTATTTTATTCTAATGTTTTATGTATTATACATGGACGTCATCTTATTGGTCTTTAGTTCAATAAACATGTTATCCTATTGCATAATACTAAATAATTTGACTACATATTATTAATATTATAAGATAACATACCTGTTCCGTTCGTTCAACAAAATATTCATTATTACCATATTCCTGTAAATATATATCTATTTAAAACAATAAATATTTGTACTAGGGCTACTACTTTTTTTTTTTTTATAAAAGATATGGTTGGGTTTATATTCCGTATTTATGAAAACAAGTCACAAATTAAAAAAAGAAAAATATATTGAATAATAATTGTACTATGAATTGTTGTTATGAATTGTTTTTTTTATATTAGATGTTAACTAAAATAATGCAAATTTCTAAAATATTATTATTACTATTTGATGATATACCTGTTCAATGTCAACGTCAAAAAAGTCATCAGTAAATTTTCGCTGTAAATATATATTTATTTAAAACAATAAATATTTTCACTAAGGCTTATAATTAATTTTTTTAATTTAAATTCTTTTTATAAAAGAAATGTATGTTTATATCCTGGGTTTATGAAAACATGTCACAAATTACACAAAAGAAATCTCCATTTAATAATTATTGTGTTATTAATTTTTATAAATTCATATAAAAGCGTTTTTTTTTTATTAAATTAAAACTGTCTAAGTTATGTCATTTTATTTCCTTTTGTAGATAATCAAAATAAAATTAATTTATCATAAAATTGATTGAAAAAATTAAAAATTAAAATTTTTTTAAATGTTTTGTATATCAGATCACAACAGCAATTAGTAATAATAATTTTATAATTACAAGTTCTTGGATTATATCTTCCTTCTTTGGTTTGGAATCCTAGAATTAAATTTGTACGATTGATAAATAAATAATTTTAAAGCCTAACCAAACATAAATTGAATAATAATTTCAATTTTTTTATTTAACCTTATGTACGATAGTGTTAATAAAAGAAAATAAATGTAACGTCACAAATTCGAAGGTAAACCGTTTATAATTTTTTGATATGTCTACTTTTTTATTTTATCGCGCAGAAAATACTCGAATGAATATTATTCTGACACAGCGGTGTCAACAACTCATTATTTTTGCTGCTGACCACTAGATAAGGCGACAAAAGAGAATAAATACAATTAAAATTGAGTTGTTTATCGGTATTGATCCCTCTCAAAAAGACTGGTCGTTATCGATTTTAAATTGCCGTTAGATTGGTTTTGTTTCTTCATCTTGCTTTTATCATTGACCGTGCTAGAGTGCACATGTATGTTGTCTTATTGTCACTTTTTAATTCAATGATGGAGTAAAGCAGCTAACGACGAACAACCAGGTCTTTTCGGCGAAGCATCCACACCACCGGATTGATCTCTTCGGAGACCGAGTATTGTTTTCTTTTTAGCTTCGATGCGAAGCTGAGATTGTATTGGTTTTATTAAGATGTGTTTTTTTTTTTTGTGTCTGTTACCACTTTTTCTCAGCTCTCACCGAACGGATTTCTTTCAACAATACGACAAAAGATCACAAATCGTATCTAGTCGAAGAGATTACCCTCAAAAATTGAAAAAAATTTCCTCGTTCCCCGTAAATGGGGGAAACCTCCAAAAAAATTACAAATTTAAAAATGCCGTAACTTTTTTAAAATAAATATATCAATATAATTCTTTTTTATATAGATGCATAATATCATTACCTTTCATTTGGTATATTTTTTTCATAAATTTAACCCTTAACCTGCCCACAAGGGGCGATTTAAAATGACAACTTTTTCACAAAAAATTAATTTTTTTAACTTAAATTTTGAAAATGTTCCGGAATGTCTGACACTTTTATATATATCTTAAATTAAAGCTAATGTAATATTCTTTATCATGAAAAAAAAAAAATTTCGGACTTTATCTTATCTTCACGGTGAAAACAGACATCAAAGTTAATAAAAAAAATACGATTTTTGTAAAAAAATTCTTTTTTATTTTTTTAACTTTATAATGCTAACTTTTTGAAAAATGTATGGATCAATATAATTTTTTTTTATAGATGCATGATGTCTTTACCTATCATTTGGTATATATTTTTTTTATATCTGACCCTTTACCTGCCCACAGGGGGGGATTTAAAATGACAACTTTTTCACAAAAAATTTAATTTTTCAACTTAAATTTTGAAAGTGTTCCGGAAAGTCTGACACTTTTATATATATCTTAAATTAAAGCTAATGTAATATACTTTATCATGGAAAAAAAAAATTTCGGACTTTATTTTGTCTTCACGGTGAAAATGGCTACCAAATGCTATTATTGTGTGAAAATTCTCAATTTTATTTTTTACATTTTTAACTTTATAATGCTATAACTTATTGAAAAGTGTATTGATCAATATAATTTTTTTATGGGAAATACTATTTTTTAATAATCCCTTTTTCATTCGACATACTTTATCTTAATCAGGATATTAATAAGGAACTAGCAGTTTATGAAGCTTTTAGAATAATCCACCAACTTTTTAAAATTAAACACTATCTAAAGATTTGCATCGAAGCGTTTTTTTTTTATAGTGATTTTAATCACTGTCAGATATCATTATACTTGATCCAACTATGCCACGTCACCACTGTGCCGCGACCCCCCTGTGCTGGGTTTTTTATAAATGAACTTAATTTTATTTATGTGTGTAGCGCACGTGTTCCTCTTTATTATAGCCAATGCTAAGAAGCGATTGTCCAGACCGCTCCTGGTGTTTTTCATTTATCTCCGATTAACATTAACGGATGTGTTCCAATACTATCTGTGATGTTTGTTATATTATTTGATTTTGTTTAAATATTTTATTTTATTTTTGTAGATATGGTTTTTAAAACACTCGTATTTTTGTTCATGTCTAACAAAATTTCCTTATTAATTTTAACTATAGTATTTATTTTATTATATTTCGTATTTATGAAAACAATGTCACAGATTAAAAAAAGAAAATTCTATTGAATAATAATTGTACTATGAACTTACACAATTCAATTTACACGTATCCCTTCCAAAAAATTATTTTTTTTAAGTTAAAACGAGACAAAAAAATTAGACGTTAATAAAAAACGACATTTACAACTATTACTTTTTAAAGTATTAAAGATATCTTTATATTACATTGTATTATAAATATAATTTTATAAATAAAAATAACAGATTATTATTGGACCCACAAATGAAAGCATCTAGAAAGCATGAATATTTTGAAAAATCACTGAATGAGGAGTTACCGGATAAACCGATACCAGCCTGGGAAGACCAAATAGTGCAAAAATTAGCTAACACAATCTTGAACGTCTAAAAAGATAGCACTAGATTTAGCCAGTGCCGTAAAAATATCTAAATTTACATTTTAATTATAGCGGTCATCCAAAAGAGGAAATTATACAAAAAAACTTGACAAATGTAGCAGTGCATACAACACAAATATCGCTATGCCAGAAAATCAATACCAACCAGTTCCGATGATTGCTAACCCAAACATACCATACATTACTAAAGAAAAATGTTAAACGCCATCGTAATATACAAACAGCTCAATTGATATGAATTAAAAATAACAGTTTTATTATTTAAAATTAAAAGTATATTAATAATATTATTAATTTAAAAGTAAAATACTATAATGTAATTGACACTCAGAATATGGTTGGGCGTCCCTACTTGCATTAATAATAATAAAAAAACTAATTAATCAGAGTGATACAAAATTAACACACGGTATAAATATATTTAAATATGTATCAATCTGATCTAAGTTTCCAGCAGCACAACTTCAGTTCTGTGTACGTGATATTAAAAACCAATATTTAAATGGAGCGACAATTAGCTTTTCATATGCCTAATGGAAACAATTTTTGCATGACTCCAATCATTTATTTAACCACAAGTACAGTAATTACACACGCGATAGAATGAAAAATGTCACAGAACAGCCCTCGGCGACGTCGCCTTATCTAGTCAACCTGACCACATACAAGACACTAATAGAAAGTCGACGATAACTGCCGTTCATCGAACTGCCTACCCCACCTAGGTTTGTAATTTGTTGTGGCTATAATTTGATTTTTTATTATTTTGTAATCTTTCAAATTTTAATTATTTATCAAGATTAATTATTAGATTATAATATTGTCATTGGGACAATTTAAGTTTTCTCACCGGAGTTGGTACTTGATAACTGTCACTTTCATCATTCTGGAACGACGATAAAGTTCCTAAGATGTATAAAGCAATGAAAAATGAATAGGTGAATAAAAACATGATTACACTAGATTTTACAGTTGAAAAAATTATTAAAAATATAGTGCAATTCATATTTGAGTTTTATATAATATAGATTTGAAAATAGAAGTATAATTTGTTTGTTCAAAAACATTTGTCCATCTCATTATTTTTAATCATTACCTATGATTTATGTGTTATAATATTAACTTAAAATTATTGCGAATTTCAATTTAAATACACACGTTAATATCTTTTATAATAATTGTTGACAAAAAAAATGACTATGAATTATGACTCTAGAAACAAATTTTTAAAATTCATTTCTAATTTTATCAATATTATAAAAATGTATAAGTCTTTTTGAAACTTATATGTGTAATAATTTTATTTCTTTGAAATTGAAACTATTTTATGGCAAACATATTCTACATTTAAAACTATTAATTTATAAAATATCAAAGTATGAATAAACTTAGTTTTTTCAAAAATAGCATAGTATGTACATACAAACACTAGTTTATGGGAGAAGTGCGATTTGATAGTTGGGGTTTTTACCCTACATTATAATTTTTTTTAATCAAATCAGAATATATGAAAAATATTGGGATATAATTTTTGTCTTCACACCTCTGTCATCCCATAAATGATCTCTACCTACGCATCTGTGTAAACATCTTAAATTTTCAGATAGTTTTAATATTTACATTTTAAATCAGTTATGCACTTCAATAATTTTTTTTAACTATTAAATTAAAGCTCATAAAATATTTACATTTTTTACAAATGTATTTTTACAATTAATTATACAGCGTGATTTTTTTATCGTAACCCACTCAATTACTTACAGAATAATAATAATTAAAATATTTTTTTTTATTATTATCTTTAATTATACAGTATTCTTTTGAATTATTAACTATGTAATACTTTTTAAGTTCATCCCTGCCTTGTAAGGATGTCAACTTTGTTTTTAGCTTCGATGCGAAGCTGAGATTGTATTGGTTTTATTAAGATGTGTTTTTTTTTTTTTTGTCTGTTACCACTTTTTCTCAGCTCTCACCGAACGGATTTCTTTCAACAATACGACAAAAGATCACAAATCGTATCTAGTCGAAGACATTATCCTTCAAAATTGAAAAAATTTCCCTCGTTCCCCGTAAATGAGGGAAACCTCCGAAAAAATTACAAATTTAAAAATCGCTAATTTTCGACATTTTTTCAATTTTTTTTACTAAAAACTGCCGTAACTTTTTCAAAAAAGAACATATCAATATAATTTTTTTTTATAGGTGCTTGATGTCTTTACCTATTATTTGGTATATTTTTTTTGTAAATTTGACCTTTTTTCTGCCCACAGAGGGGATTTTAAATGACAACTTTTTCACAAAAAATTAACTTTTTCAACTTAACTTTTGAAAATGTTCCGGAAGGTCTGACACTTTTATATAAATCTTAAATTAAAGTTAATGTAATATACTTTAATTTGAAAAAAAAAAATTTGACCTCTGGACTACCGAATGCTATTTTCGAGTGAAAATTCTCGATTTTAATATTTATATAATATTTAACTTTATAATGCTATAACTTATTGAAAAGTTTATGGATCCACACAATTTTTTTATGAGAAATAATATTTTTTAATAAACCCTTTTTCATTTGACATACTTTATCTTTATCGAGATATTAATAAAGAACCAGCAGATCAAGTAGCTTTTGGAATAAAACACCAATTTTTTTTAAATTAAACACTATCTAAAGATTTGCATCGAAGCGTTTATTTTTGATAGTGATTTTAATCACTGTCAGATATCATTATACTTGATCCAACTATACCACGTCACAACTGTGCCGTGACCCCTCTGTGCTGGGTTTTTTTTTTAAATGGGAACACATATTTTGAATTTTATAAAATGTTTGAGTTTTTAATTTAATAGTAAATGACATTTGAATTTTTAATATAACTTTATTTGTTTATTAGATATAAACATTTAAAGTTTCAAATTTTTGAGTTAATATACAGGTATAATACACAAGGGATTACAAATATAGGTAGCTAATTGGTTTTTTATGACATTGCTGTCACAGTCACGGATTATTTATTAGCAACTATGACTATCAATAGATATACTTTTTGTATTGTTAGTTAGTGTATTTATAAACTCACAACAATGTACCTTACAACCATTGATTATAACAATGCTAATATCGATGTCATAAAAATCCAATTAGCTACCTGAATTTGTAATCCTTTGTGTAATATACATGTATATTATCTCAAAAATTTGAAACTTTAAATGTTTATATCTAATAAACAAATAAAGTTATATTAAAAATTCAAATGCCTTTTACTATAAAATTAAAAACTCAAACATTTTATTAAATTAAAAATATGTGTTACCATTTAAAAAAACAAAGTTGACCCCCTTCCAAGGCATAAGGGATGAACTTAAAAAGTATTACATAGTTAAAAATTCAAGAATAATGTGTAACNAGGCATAAGGGATGAATTAGAAAGTATTACATAGTTAATAATTCAAGAATGATGTGTAACTAAAGATAATATTTAAAAAAAATGTTTAAATTATCATTATTCTGTAAGTAATTGAGTGGATTATGATAAAAAAATAATAAAATTTTTTTAGACGGAATTCGTTTTTATTAACTATAATTTATGTAAAGTATTTTTACTGATAAGAAAAACAAGTACTTACATATAAAAATTATTTTTTTCCAAATTATTATTAATTTTGATTTTTAATATTTTATAAATAATCCCTACAAAATTTCGGTTCAAAATATTGTTTTTTGTCATTTAAAGTTGATTTTTATGAAAATGTATAATTTAAAAAACGTTGAACTTTTAAAGATATTTTTAATTCAGCTGCATGTTTTAAATTTATATCATTAAAAAGGAAATTTTATAAGGATTTAAAAAATCACACTGTTTAGACTGATATATGATCAGTGAATTTTATAATGAATATTTACAGTAAAATTATAAAAAAAAGGTCAAAATTTCTTTAATTCACTTTTTTTTTTTGTAATAATTTATTATAATATAAGTCATAGTAATAATGTCTATATAACTCTTAGTGTTTAAAAAGATGTTGCAACTGAAATCTTTACATATTAATTAATATTTTAATTGTTTAAAAGTAACCAAAAAAATACAGATTGAAACTAGGCTCGGTATTGAAAGATTTGCATCGAAGCTTTATTTTTTGATAGTGATTTTAATCACTGTTAGATATCATTATACTTGATCCAACTATGCCACGTCACCACTGTGCCGCGACCCCCCTGTGCTGGGTTTTTTTTTTTATTATTTGTTTTAATAATAAAATATGTAAAAATACTTTTTTCAAATTTTGAAAGTACACATATTTAAAAAAAAATGTTTAAAAACATTTTAACGATTTGATTCTTATTTAGAAAAATTATTTATTTAGTTAAATGAAGAGGTAGACAAAGACCAAAAATGAGATGGAAGGATGTTATTGAATGTGATATGAGGACGGCTGATGTAAACGTCGATGATGACGGAGATCGTGTCTAGTGGAAGTTTAGGATGAGGGTGGCCGAACCCCAGTATTTTGGATTTAGACGAGGAAAAAGAAGAGGTAGATTCAATTTTAAAAATTGAAAATCAATTCTTAGTTTTTCCTTACATCACGGGCTAATAAAAAATGATTTTAAGAGATTTTAGCCAAACATTTAATTTTAAATGAAATAAACTTTTTTTAAACTAGTTAAGTTAAAACAAAAATTTTATTTATTTTTTTAACTTAACTAGTTGAAATAGTATTTAATTTATTTNTAACTTAACTAGTTGAAATGGTATTTAATTTATTTTACAAATTAAAAATTGGTTTTGATTACAATTTGTTAACATTAGAAGTATTTATTCGTTTCTGTATTAAATAACAATTTAAAAATTTATATAAATATCAATATATACAAAAATAAACATATTCATTTCTATGTACTATTTAGTATTTGTACGATTAGTGGTAGTTATATTTCTAACCTTAATTTCAGTTGTACTGGTGATGCAGTTGTTCATTGATGTAAGAGTTCAAATATAGTTGATATTCGTGCGTATTTATTCGCTGTTCTCTCAAACATAGTTTGTTGATACTTCCATTTAATTCATCATAAAAAATCTTATTGTTACTTGTTAGTTTTTATTTAGAGAGAAAACGAAAAACAAAAGTGTTCATTTTTTAATACATAGATATCATTATGTATTTCATTTCTTTTTTAAAACATAACCAACCAATTATTTTATCTTCTTATCACTTTGTTAGGAATGACAACATTTTTCCAGCGCCGCCACCACATAACACGAATGCAAAAGTCCCACACGATGTTGCCGCATATTATACAATAATACGAGTAATCATACAATAATAGTACATTTACAACATTTCATCTAAACTGTACCATTACATAGTTAAATTTATGAATTGTTAACTTTTAATTGTTAATTGATCTACATTGATCATACTTAACTTAACTTGAGTTATTTAATTCTATTATTATACCCATATTTGCTAATACTAAAGTTGTTATAAGCCGATAAGTACTTTTTTTAAAAGTACTAAAATGTAACTATTATAAAATACTGAAAATTAAAAAAGAATCATTTTTTTTTAGATCAAAAAATAAAAAATAGATATTTAACATAATTTAAGATTATTGTTTTAAAATAACTACATCTAAATAATAATTGTATCAAAAATTGTAAGAGATATTAGTTAAATTTATTGTACATGTACATGTAAATGTTTAATGAATCCTGTCTCAATTGTGAAATTGAGTATTAGTTTTAAATTATGGTTTTTAATATCTTCTTAATCTCCAAATAGTAAGGTAGGCATTAAAATTATTTACCAAGGATAGTCCAACTACTGTAAGACTTAAATAATCACTGTTCTGTCAAACACTTAAACACTGAGGAGAATTATATCAGTGGAGTGATATATTTTCAAATCTGCTATACCTAATTCGCAACTCCCGAGTCTCATAACTGATTTATTACTGTTTTTAAACTGTTATAAATCGCTGTGGATAAAAAAT